AAAGTTGGCTCCTTACGGTGAGAACAAATTTTTTTCTTTTTTAAATGAAAGATTTCTTTAAAAAGCGGTAGTACAAAGGTACACTCCTTAAGGTCCAAGTTCAGTAGTACACTCTCGAGGGCTGGGCATTTGGAAATTGATCCAACGAGTTACCTAAAAATCGAACTAAAAAAATAAATTTGCTTCAGTTTTAATGATTTTTGGTTTTTGTTGATTTGGTTTTGATATTAACCAAATACATTTTGGTTTGATTTTGATTTAACCTTTCAAAAAATTAAAAACTAAAAATAAGCCTTTTGAAAATTAAAATTAAGATAAAAATAATAAAAGATAATAAAATATAAAATAAAATACAATTTATTATTAAAAAATTAATTAATATTTATTTAGTAAAAATCAAAATCAAACCAATTTTATTGATAACCAAATCAATTAATTTATAAAAATTTCAATTCAGTTTCAATTCTCAAAATTAAAAAAAAAAAATTGATTATTTTAAAATTGGTTCCAATTTTGACCGAAACCAATTTTTTCCCACCCCCTCTTGAGTAGTAGGCTCCACCGCTGGTCAAAAAAAAATGCAGTACACACTCCACCGGCCTTCTAGGAAAATTGAAATTAGTACATGTACATCCATCACAGATTTAGGAAGCACAAAGACAAATAGCAGAAGAAACCCAAATGAAACTGTTGGGAATTTTCACTTGGGCTGCCCGTTGATTGATTTTTGGTTTATAAAAATGGGTTAAATGAATGGTTAGTGAAATTTAATAAAGTTATGTAGTCAAAATTTACATAAAATTATGGCGATCATGATCTTTGATGATCCTTAATAACATTCTAATTTCTTGCATTCAATTAAGAAAATACAAGTATACAATCAGCATATTTCGGTTCAGCGATATTAACTTGAATTAATGAGATCATTTCTGTGCATTGCAATTTCGAAACTTATAAATTTCTTTTTTTATTTTCTCTTATCCTTTCTCTCGATTATAATCTTGTTAAAAAACAAAATGAAAATTCAAGTATACATCTATTGATTTCACATATTATATTTTTTAATTTGAGTAGTTTAATATTTTAAAATTTAATTTATGAGATTAATTATTTAAATAAATTACTATAAAAATTGCCTACCACATGGGTTCAGACCGCAAGCAATGGCATCAAAGCAAATGAGAGATCTAAAGCAGATTTTCAAGGGAGAGAAGAACCCCGAAAGTCATATTTTTCTATTGACGTGCGTGTTCTATGGCACTAAAAAACATCAACGGTTGTTGCATCTTATTCCAGTAATAGTTATAACTACCCTTGAATTTATGAAAATTATTTA